TTGCTGACACACCCACCCAACAGAGCCCCGTGGATCTGAGAATGGACTGCTCCAACCACTGCCGGACCAGGCTCACTTTGCCGGAAGCACAGCTAGCCAACACGCTGAGGTCTGCAGGAAATCAGCCAAGCAAAGAGACGGAAGAACAAACCTCAGCTCCACCTCCACGAAGGCAAGGGGCCCAGGGTACTTATGGGATAAAGAAGCAGGGCTGCCTGAGGTTGGATGGATGGGGAGTGTGGGGAGACGTGATGGGAAAAAGCTGGGATAATCTCACTCCATGAAGGTGTTAACCTCGCCACAGGCCTCTGCATGTTCAAAAGTGGATGCACTTAGAGACTCAGGGTGAAGTTCTCAGCTCTGATGTCAAAGATCACGGACAGGAGATTCGTGCTTGCCCCGTGGAGGCTTGGAGGTCCCATCCACTCACAGCCAGCTCAGGAGGAACCCGGCCCAGCTGACTCCAGGCTCCTGGAAAACAACTCAGGTGAGCATCTCATCGTCCAGGCTCCGTGAGGCCTCGAGGAAGAGGAAGTCTTCAAACGACTTGATTAATGGAGCAGGTGAAATGGATCTGGTCCAGGGTCCCACAGTCACGGGCAAACACCAGTGAGCCTGTCAGGGGCTTAGTCTGACATGTGATTCTCAGGTTTCCCAAGTTTCGTGACTCAAGTGCAGGACCATCTGTACTACAAACTGACCTCTTCCTTTGGGCCCCACTCAAAACCAGCGACTTCCAAGTCACCCTGTAAATGAGTGACGGCCCTGTTAAATGTGAGCCATGCTGCCTCCCAACCCAAGGGACCGAGCGAGGGCGGCAAAGCTGCTTCTTCATGACCGGAGATGGTGGTGGTCTCTATTTCTGCACAACCCATCAACATAATTTTGCAGCTGAAAACTGCAAACATTTATGATCTCACAGTATCTGCAGGGTGGGCACATGGGCGTAACGTAGCTCTGTGCTCGGCCTCGGGGGCCCCACAAGCTGGGCTGAGATGGCACCAGGGCTGGAGTCCACGGGAAGGCTCGCCCGGGGCACAGTCACTTCCGAGCTTGCTCACCTGGCCGCTGGGAGGACTGAAGACCAACCGCCTGCACATCCCACCCCCCGCAGCCCCCGCGGCCCCCGCTCCCCTCGGCTCCTCCACGGCCCCCGCTCCCCTCACACAGCACACCTCGGTGGCTGACCGCAGCCTTGCAATGAAATAAAGCAGTAAGTTGGCACTTACCCACGGACATTCACACCCGACCAAGCAGGAGAGTCAGACTCGCCTTGCTCCCGCCGCCTTCCCGACACCCCTGTCTCAGAGCAGCTGCAGTGCGGGGCCCAGGTCCACAGTCCTCACTGTGTGGCTTCAAACCTGGAAAACGGAGACTAGCTCAGAAACTCACTTCAGAACCCACCTTCCAGATTAGGCCGCAGCATTGCCACGAAGAATGAACGTGGAAGCCTGGTCAAGAACAAACATGGATACCAAGGGGACAGGGGTAGCGGCCAGGACTGCGAGGTGGGGGCTGACATGCAGGCGCTATCCACAGGACGTCTGACAGGCGGCTGATGAGAACCTCCTGCCCGGCAGGGGAAATGCCCTGAGGGCTGGGTGGTAACCCAGCTGGGAAGGGAATCCAGAGCAGAGGACGCATGTAAAGGCAGAGCTGGCTCACTCTGCCGTTGGGTAGAGAGACAGCACAGTAAAGCAGGTAAATCCAGTAAAAACTACTTTAGAAAATACACTTAAGAAAACCCCAATCCCTTTGAACACGGACGACCCGCAAACACTGACTTGGGGCTGATGGGACTGGTCGCGCCCCTCCTGGCGCCTGGACATGGTTTCCTGCAGGAATGAAGGTCCCAGTCGCCTGCTCCCTGCTTCTCAGAGGCCCTCTGGTGACACCTCGTGGGCACGTCTGATACGGCAGGCTTGCACCAGCTCAGCCGGCAGGACTGGTCACTGGACACGGGGCGCTGGGCAGGCAGCCTGGCCCTGCCCACGGCTCTCACGGAGGCAGGACAACGGCGGCAGCGGGGAGGGTGTGGCTGCACGTGGTGAAGACTCCAGGCGGCGGGAGAACACCCTCAGCTACCCCAAGGCCCTCCCTTCCCGCACACACTCCCGAGAGACACGAGGACTTGCTGAGAAGGCCGGCCTGACCCTCCTCCTGCAGTGGGGTGGTGGTGGGCCCAGCGCCGGGCACTGAGGCCTGGGCAGAGCCTGCACACCTGGTGAGCCCTGCGCCTCAGGCAGCTCTGAGGCTGAGCGCCAGCCTCGCCCCATCCCAGGTGAAGAAACCACGGCCAACACCAGTGTGCTCAAGGTCGCTCCCAGCAGCTGAGGCAGCCTTCTCTCAAAAATGCACGCAGACCGGTGACACTTAAAAAGGGGCACTCAGAACTCTCTCAATACCAGCACTTCCTACAAAAATTTAAAATGCACTCGTGACTCCCCCATCCTTTGGCACGTGGTCATGTCCAGAAGGAATTCTCAGAACTAATGCTCAGCTCTGCTCATCAAGGCAGACCTACTGACACGTTTGCATCACATGAACTGAACCCATGAAACAGCTGCTGGGGGTGTGCGGAAACTGACGGGGAGGAAGTTGGTGTGACATCCTGGGTGCCCCCTCAGGTCCTCTTACCCAACTCTGAAACACGGCCCTCCAGCACAGCAGCGCTCTAAGGACCAGGCCTGGGGGCAGCGACCTCTGTAAACAGCAACAGGGACTGCCCCGCAGGTGTCTGCTTTCCTGGCCTTTACCCTTCTGTGCCATTCCAATGTCTCTTCACACAGGGCCTTCAGGAAAATGCTAACTTCTCAGAAAGGTCTTAAACACACTTAAACATTCCAATCACAGCTGAGAAACATGAGTGCACTCGTGTAAGTTGATAATCACTGATAATGTGGCATATTTTTGTCCTTTAGTTTGGATGATCAAGAATAGAGCTAAGAGAAAATATGACGCAAGGTCTACCTACTTTTAAAATTCCTAGTAGCCACAATTAAAACACAAAACAAAAACAAGTAAATTCATTTTAATACTTTATTTAATCCATTGTATCCAAAATACTATTTCAACCAGTAAATATTTGTAACAAGACCTTTTTTTTTTGGTATTGTCTTCAAAATCCAGTGCTACCGAGTCTCAGTTTGGACATTAACCTCTCCTGAGAAAGACCTGATCTGTGTACAGGTATCATGAACCTTGCAGTTGAGAAACACACACTCAAGTTCCCGACACTCACCAGTGCTTCCGAACACCAGCTAGTGACCGCCAGTGGACCCGGACCCCAGGAAGTGCTTTGTGCACGTGGCCCGGAGACCCACAGTATCAGGAATGCGGTGGGGGTGGGGGCAGCCCTGGCACATCTGGAGAGCCAGCAGCCTAGACCTGCCACCACTAACCAGATGAGGCCACAAACAGCCGCATCACCCACCTGCGGACTAGGACCCCAACACACCGCCCCTCCATCATATCATGAGGCTCTAGACCCAGAAAACAAGGGGTAGCTGTGCGGGTTTTTGTCTGGCATCCAGGCTGTGTGCCCCGTGGGTTATGATGGGGACCCAACCAGACTGCATCCTCTCCATCGGGTTTCCTGGCTCCCGAAGCCCCGCGAGACGAGTCTCTCCTGGCGTCACTGCAATGCCTGCAATCAGAGGGTCACGGCTATCCTCCCAGTGCAGCAGGAGTGGTGGGCCACCTGGACAAGGACCCCTATGGGGCAGTCGGTCCCCGTCCACCTGGGATCGGATGGCCGATCACCACAGCAGCCACACGGGGAAGATGTCGTGTGACCCGCTGTCGATGGTTTGAGTGACAGAAGCCCCTTGACTGACACCCAGGCCAGACCTGCTCGTGTGGGAAGCAGGGACCTGCTGGGCATAAAGTTACCCGCAAAGTGCAGGTAACATACGAGAACAGGCCAGTCTGGGCAGGATCAATCACGTCATGGCTTTACTTTGAATCTGAAAGAGAAGAAAACAGCTTATGTTTTTAGATTTGTCTGGATTAACTACAAACGGGTGATCATGTACAAAACATTGACCACACACAGGTCTTCAGACCACAGCTGTGCAGTCTCTCGGGGTCACCCTGGGGCTGAGGAGCCTGCAGGCAGGCGTGCACCCCCTCCGCCGTCTAGCTGGGACGGGGTGCAGAGCCCCAGTGGGCAGGCAGGAGCCTCGCCATAAGTGCTCGGCGTGACCGTCCACCTGGCCTGTCCTGGGCCGTACCTGAAGTGCTGGGCCAGCCAGCCGCCCAGCCCCTCGCGGGAAGCCCCCGATGGCCCAGGATCCGAGCACCTGTGGGGAAGGCTCAGGTCAGCGTTCCGCCAACTCCTCACCTCTAGCATGGAGGCCACCCGCACAGGGACAAGAGGACCCTCCGCCTGGCTCAGGCAGACAACACGGGAGACGGTCAGAGACGGCGGCAGGGGACCCAGCTTCCACTCCTCCTGCAGCAGGTGGGGGCAGACGCTCCATGTTCCCGAGGGGCCCTCTTGGCTGCCAGCCAGCGGAGGGGCTGGGCCGCCATCACAAGGTGGCCAGAGCACAGCAACCCCCAGGCCCACGGGGAGGGCAGGCGGCTGGCGTGGTGTGTAGCCGAGCTCACAGCGTTGGGGGTCACTGTCCGGCCCCACAGACTGCTGGGCTGCCAAGGGGACACTTGGCGACCACCGCACAGAGACAACGCCATGGGAGGCAGAGGCCAGGGGGCCCCAGGGAGACAGGGACCACTCTCCACAAAGGGGGCGCCCGGGCAGACCCTCCCCGTGGCCCCGGAAAGGAGCCCACCCCCGCCTGCACCATGAACGTGGCTTCTAGCTTCAGAACTGAGGTTCCAGCAAATGACGACTAGAATCCAACTTCAATTCTGGGTCCACTTTTAATTTAGATCACAGTCACCCAAACCCCACAACGGATATTCCACCCCCATGGCCAAGCGTGGGACCCAATTCCCGGTCCAGGTGGTCCCCATGTGCAGGCTGAGTGAGGCCGCCCTCAGCCGGCTGAGCTGGCGGGGCGGCCTCCGCGGGCGCAGCCGTGGTCCAGAGGGTGTCTGTGCTGGAGGCAGAAGCTGCCGCGGCACTCCTCACACACCACCCGCAGCATCTCCCTCCTCCTGCAGCCCTCTCTGGAGCAGCAGAATGTGAACACCTGTGAAAGCACAAGTCGCCCCAGTGTACCAACCGCCTCGCTGAGCGATCACTCAGCCAGCCCCGAACAAGACCCTCAACACTCAAACCAGAGGCGGCTCTTAGCGAAACAGTATGAAGGCGCCGGGCTTTCACTGAGGTTTGTCAGGTAAACAGAGAAATACTGGCTAAGAATGCTAATTAAGGATACTTTTAACAGACGACAGACACAAAGCCAACACTTTAAGCTGGGGACTCACATGGGATGCTTGGGGGTGCTCCCACTGAGAGAAACGAGATGGGGTGGGGGCAGACAGGGTCAGGGAGAGACAGCCACGCACGTGGCCTGAGGGGAGCCGGGAGGGCCCCGGGGACGGGGCGGCTGTGCTCCATTGGGGGGGCGGTCTCTGGGGGCCATAAACTGCCAGGCACTCCCAACTGTGCAGCTGGCAACGGGGGAGGCAGTGTCGGCAGCCTGGGGCGGCCCTCCGCCAAGGCAGGCAGTGACCGAGCACGGGACAGCAAGGAGCTGCGGCCACCAGGAGGGGGGCCTGGCCACCTGGGGAGGGCACGGGTGGGCCGTGGTCTCGGGAAGGCAGGGGGGTCTCTCAAAAGGCTCCAGAGGCTCACAAGGGCCCCAAACAGGGCAGCAGGACTGGTGGGGGCCTTGGGGCCAGAGCACACGGGGCTGTGGGGGCTCGGAGTGGGGTTCTTGGGGCCGGGGGCAGGGGTGAGGGCCGGGAGGTCACGGGATGGCAGGGGGTCCGATCAGAGGGCCTGGGATGGAGGCTCCGGGCGGGCTTCGCCTTCTCCTGCTCCAGGTTATTTGTCCTAATTCTTTTTGTCCGGCACTGAGCGTGGGAAGCAGGGAGCTGCTGGAGCGCTGGGACAGCGGAGGACTGGAGACGGTGCCTCAGCCTCACAGGAGCCGGGCCCTGGAGACGTGCTGCAGGCTGAGAGCAGGGGGCCGCGCAGCCCGCATCCCAGAGGACCACCCGAGCCGGCCCGGGGAGCGCACAGCGCGGGGCTGGGCACGGGGACGTGCGGGAGGCCCATGAGCCTCCCATCTGAGGGTGGGACAGGCCAGCACGTGCTGTCTGCTGAGGCCGTGGCCAACCCGGGGCTCCTCAGACACGGAGGTGACCACAGAGGGTGGCCTACTCCGCCTGAAGTTCTAAAGTGACCACAAAGAGACGTTCTGAAAAGGGATGAATGCAAAACCGTGAGAGATAAAAGGGAACAACCACGACTTTAGGGAAAGCTCACGGACAAGCAGGACCTGCTCAGCAGACGTGAAACCCTGCGAGCTGGTGCGGAGGGCCAAGAGGCAGCCTGCTTGTGACACAAGCTCCCCAAAAGCTCAGAAACCACAGCACTGGAGGCTCGGGAGGGGCCAGGAGAGGCTGTGCCTCCGGGAGACCCCCTCCCCCACCCCCGCAGCAGAGCTGCCCTGACCCCAGGGAGCCTGAGACTGATCAGGACCCAGGACAGACCCCCCGCACGGGGGATAGAGAGGAGCGAACCTGAGGGGGAAGGAGGCAGGTCTGGGAGGACCAGCACGGCGGAGTGCGGTCCAGAGCGGGCGCGGGCTCAGGGCTCCCTGTCTGCGAGGCTCAGCCAGCGCGAGGCTGCCACACCTGGTCAAGGACAGCGGTCGCTCATGGGCGCCCCCGAGCAGCAGCAGAAGCGGGAAAACCACCACAAGCGCCAGGAGCACCGCCGGAGCGAGGGTGCCAGGCTGGGCAGCAACCCCCGCGGGACAGGCACACACGGCACACAGGCTGGACTCAGCCCACGGGGAACGCAGGCGGCACCCGTCCGCTCCAGACAGACAGACACGCGTACTGGGGTCTGCGTGTCATCAGTATGTGCTACGCCGTCTCCTGGGGAGCTCAGAAAAAAGGCGCACGTGGGCAGCGATTCCCAGAAACCATGCTAACTTTCCACCTTAGTAGAAATAGTGAGATGCCTGTAACAAAAGCAGATCCTAATGTAGACCCTGATATTGAGGAAATACGCTGGTAGAACTGTGAAAACCTACGCCGTTCACAATCCAGGAAAACACTGAACAATTGTTCAGTTTAGTCGCTCAGTCGTGTCCAACTCTTTGCCACCCCATGGACCGCAGCACACCAGGCCTCCCTGCCCATCACCAACTATTGTTAGGGTTTAATTTTATGCAAAAACTATTGTAAGTAATTAGCCTGAGCGGATAACTGCGCTTCTCCCCCAGGAGGAAGCAGCGCCCACGGCCCCGCCTCACCTTCGCCGTCTCCTGCCCGGGTGGACGCCGACATTCTCCGTCCATGTGCGCACTGACCACCACATCAGGGATCTCCCCCTTCTTCACTGGGACAGGGCTGTCACAGAGTGGGCACACTGGGACCCGAACATCCTAAAATAACAAACAAGAGGACAGAGCTAATCAGAGAGCCGAGATGCACGCACACGACAGAAAGGGCCAGGGCGCAGTCATGCGGGGATGGCACAGACGCTGGCCTCGCCGTCACAGGAGGGACAACGGCAGCCTGAGCCGCAGCCAGCCAGCTCGGGGGGACCCCAGGGGAACTGATGCACAATGGACTGTCGCCCGCCAGCAGAGACGACCCTAAGGGAGCCGGCAAGGCCACCCAGGAGGGAAGCAGGTGAGCAGTCCGGAGGGCCGGTCTCGGGACAGGAGGGCTGTCTGTCCAGCAGTAGGGGTGAGCGGAGAAGCTGCCTTGACGCCTCCAGGGAAGGCGGGGCTGCTGGGGGGCAAACGCCATCGGAGAGGAGTCCCGGCCCCGCCCGCCAGCAGCCCTCCCGATGCGCACAGGGCTTCCTCCATGCCCACACCTCAGACGCGGTCACCCGCCAAGGCGCACGTGGCCCAGCTGAGCTCTCAGGCTCAGCAGCACCCACCAAGCCCAGGACGGGGGGCTCTGGAAGGAAGCAGCAGGGCACCCAGCAGTGGCACGCCTAGCATGGCTGGCATCCCTCGGGGCCAGGGCTGAGCTAGCTTCGCTCAAGGAGTGCTCTGAGGCGACATGACGTGGGCGAGTGACAGGCAGCCCCAGAGTGTCTGGAAGCCAAGCTGCAAAGCCACCCGGGGGTGCTCCCGCGGCTGGCCCGTGGGCGAGTTAAGAAAGCAAGCAGTGCTGAGTCATGTCTAGGCAGAGTCACCCAGTCCAGGGAAACGGGAAGGTCACGTCAACAAAACCACAGTGTGGCCTGTTCCTTGGTGCCGGGCGAGCATGAGTCACCGTCCCCCGCCCCTCAAATCAGTGAAGGTCCAGACCACAGCCCACACCGGTCAAAGCCTGAAATGCCATCATCTGCACCTCTAAACTGCCACCTCGGGGAACCAGTAGAGTGCTGGCCAAAGACCGCAGGAAACGGTTCCCAGAAGCACCCAAAACAAGTGAGTTCAGATTGGGACCCCCTGAAACGTCAACAACCCAGGTCTCACACCTCTGGACTTAGGCAAGTTGGCTTCCTTCAGCCATAGCCCAGTTTCCACCAGGTCCCATCTGAATTGCCGAAGCAGAGGCCAAGGCTGCGAACTGACCCCGAAAGAGAGCATGCACAGTTCCTCCCAAACGGGTCCCAACAAGCCCCGCAGGAAGACAGAGCGGTTCTCCCTTGGTGTGTTGAATAAAAAAAACTAAACATTTTAACGTGTTAAGTAAGCGTTGAAGGTCTGGATACAACTGATTCCAGAAACCCTCGAGAATACCCTGTGGTTTTAGAGCTACACAGCCCGAGCTTCCTGGGAAGGTGGATGCTCCTCCCTGCCCTGTCCACGCATGGTTACCAAGGGCCCGAAACGAGGCTGGTGTGACCGAGCAACGGACTTTACGGTTCCTTTCACACCAGCTGAGCTTCGACTATGTGGGGCTCACGTCCACGATCTCGGGCAGCGCAGCTTTGGAGAGGGAGGATCAGAATCTTCAGAACGAAGTATGATCGATTACCTTGGTGAATGCAAGGGGACACTTATGTGCAGCGTAGTTAAAATGATCTTTACAGAAATCTTGTTTACACGCGTCACATTTTAAGGGAAGAAAATCTAAAAAAAAAAAAAAACAGTGAAGGGTTTTAAAGACTAGAACAAAAGAATCATATGTCATATTAAACAAGTATTTACCTTCCCTGACTTCATGTTACACCTATCAAATACATCCTCAAGGTATTACATGAGAATAAAATAGTTGGGATCCGTGAATTTCACAATGTCAGCAACACTGCAGAACTGGTACAGCTACCCTTTCCAAAGGGATCCCAGCTCAGGTGGTACTCCGAGTGTCTAAGCAGTGCTCCTCTATCCACCCACTGCTGGCAGCCAGCCTCGTACCTAGCGGTACAGAACCTCAACCTCAGGCCAGCATCTCATCGCTAAGAACCACAACGGCCAAGACCCAAAAAAACATCAGCTAATGAAGACAATGTCCAGTTCTCCCGGAAAGCAGATGACAAAACGCCCATTTTCTGTTGAGGTTCTTTTAAAAGTGCTTACCTAGCTGCTTGCACGTTTTTTCTGAACAGTGCTTCCCCAAATCAGGGAACTCCATTGTAAGAACGTGTCCAAAACACAGACGGCAGAGTAAAACGTCACCTGCAAGAATTAGAAAAAATTAGGAGGAAAGCAACGATGTCCTGAATTTCAGTCACCAGGATTTATATTGTACAGGTCATCAAAGTAAACACACGTTGTAAACACCCAAGTCAGCTGGGCCCCCACAGGGGACTAAAGCCTCACAAACTCTTGTCTTTTAGCAAAGAGAAAATGGGCGTCTTAGTCTTAAGTACCAGCTCCTTCAGAATTAACCCCATTAAAAGGTTGTTTTTCAGTCCTTTTAATTTCTAGTTTATGAAGCTCAACCCGAATTTAGGTTTTCATTAATCCATATTTCGATTCATATTGATAAGGACGCCTCATATTCAATTTACACAATCGCCAGAGAAAGTTACAGCTTTGGTGAACTTTAAATTCCAATTTCATCTACTGAATATACTTGTTGACATTAACAAAACTCCGTTACCAGGTGCTAAATCACACTAATTAACTGCACTAACCCGAAGAGATTCGACTCAGTCCCCTGCTGCTCCCTCTAACTCCCTGATGCACTGAGTCTTACTTAGAATTTACTCCTTAATGGCACTCAACCGGGAGTTGACTAGGGGGAAGGGCAAGAAGTTAACTCGCCAATGGAAAACAGGTATAGAAAGTGAGGTCACTGCACTTGAGAAAAAACTGAAGTCCCCGGGACGCCCTCCCATCAGGCACCCACTCTCGGCACTCTGGTCCCTCCCAGAATCCACGTCCCCAGGGCGTTCCCGGCTCGCCCGACAGGTCTCTCCGCTCCTGGGGGCGTCCCGGTTCCTGGGACACTCTGGCCACGGCTCACACCCGCTCCAGCCCCCAGGCCTCGGGTTAGAGCGTCACTAACCCCCGCCTCACCTCGCCCGACCCTCATTTCCTCTATTCTGGAATTCCTTCCCCAGGACCCGCTCTCTCGGCTTTCGCACGCGCCTCTCGGCTCCAGGGGTCAACAACACCGAGCGGGTGTGCGGGAACCGCTCCCTCGAGGACCGACCAGAGACCCACCTCAATCCCTCGTGGTCGCGCTGTCGGCGCTGCGTCCGCGGAGCAAGAGCCCCGGTGTGCTGGGACACGGGGGCCCTGCCGTCCGAGGTCTGCGGCCCGGCCGGACCCCTGCCCGGCGTCCCCGACCCGGCCCCGCACCCCGCCCCTCCAAGAGGCCCGAGCAGCCGCCGAGAAGAGCGGAAGGCGGCGGAGGCCGAGAGCTTGAGCCTCCTGTCCGCGGCGAACAAGGCCAAAGAGACGCGGAGAACAGAAGCCGAGCGACAGCCGCAGCCGGCCCGAGCCCACCGAGGCGCGGCATCCCGGCGCCCAGCCTCTGGGCTATTTATCCGTAGCCGCCGGGCCCGACCGCTACCGCCTTCCGGGCGTTCCCGGCGCGCCCCGATACGTCACTGCGGGCCAGCCAATGGCGCCCTCCGCTGCCCGCCCACGCCTCGCCTCTTCTCGAACAGTCGCGCGGCTTCTCGGAGCTGTCGAGTCACGGCGAGGCGCGTCAGTGCGGGCGCATTGGGCCCTGCGGGGGCGTTTCCCCGCGCGGCGCACCCGGGCCTCCGAGCTGTGCGCAGGGACGGCGGGGAGAGCACCCAGGCGCTGATTTTGGAGTCACAGGTGAACTTGAGCAAGAGGGGAAGTTCACAGACCAGGAAACCGCAGGGTCTCCTGCGCGCGTTTCCCCGTGCGTGCGCCGTCTCCCCTAGCCTTGCTCCGGACCACTGGAGAGCCTGCACCTGACGCCCGTGGCGCCCCGTCACCCCACCCCTGTCGCCCGCGTGTTTTCCCTCCGTGACCGGTCCAGCCACCCAGGCGCGGAATCGGTGGCGACCCCACGTTAAGGTCCGACCCGCAGTCCCCGCTTGGCTTTTTGTGGTGTCTCTTTCCTCTCTGCTCCAGGAGCTCATCTGCTATTACACTTTCATTCTCGTCCTGTCCCAGACGGTTTTATGAAAAGTCCAAACTCTCATTGGTATAACGTGACTCTCAGGACCGGAGTCAGGTCCTGCTTCCTTGGTGATGACACCACATGGATGGTGCCGTGCTCATCACCGGCGAGGGATCGCACCCCATCCGACCACGGGGATGTTCACTTTGACTATCCCAGTCCTCACGTTTGCCAGGTTTTTCCACTTTTTCATCTGTGAACAGTTTCCCTTGTCCATTTATTTTTTAACGAATTCATCTCAGCCTCAGGGAAGGTCAGGAGAAGACGTGAGTGGACACCCGAGGGTGTAACAGGTGAGCATCTGGCCCACTTCAGCCTTTCCTGGCTCTGATCTGGCCAAGACCACACCTGAGACCTATCCTGAGACCAAGACCATCAAGTCAGTTTTTAGATGCAGCTTTTTGGTCATTAACTGAACATCTGCTTTGGTAAAAAGAGAGATGCTGGGCTTCGCTGGTGGCTCAGTGGTGAAGAATCCATCTGCCGGTAGAAGAGACACGAATTCCATCCCTGGTCCGGGAAGGTCTCACGTGCAATGGAACCGCTAATCCTGTGCGCCATAGCTGTTGAGCCTGTGCTCTCCTGAGCCCATGTGTCGTAACTACTGGAGCCCGCACGCCCCGGAGCCTGTGCTCCGCAACAAGTGAAGCTGCTGCAGTGAGAAGCCCGCACACCACAATGAAGAGTAGCCCCTGGCCACTGCAACTGGAGCAAGCCCATGCGCTGCAATGGAGACCAAGTGCAGCCAAAAATAAAGTTTTTTTAAAAAAATAGAGATGTCACCAAGCATAGGTTAGGTGACCAGTGTATGCCGGAGATGCGAACACAGCACGATTCAGGGCTTCCTGTGCTGTCCTCTGAGCTGCGCTGCAGTCAGCTGGGGACGAAGGACCCTGCAGTGCTAGGACACGGCGGAGGGGAGGGAGGCAGACCTCGGAACCCTAGTTAGCAATCCTTGGGAAGTTCTAGTTGAGAGAAAGAAGCCAGAGTGCATGTCTAGACACACCGCTCTCTATCAAGGAAGCAGTGTCCTTTGCCACCAGCTCTCTCTTGTGGCCCCTATTTTACCTGCAGGGGGACAGGTGCAGAGCTGACAAGGGACAGACCCAGGAGCCAGGATTCAGACTCACCTTGGAGTCCACATTTCTGACCCCCCTGTGCTGCCTGCACCGGCTGGGGCTGAGGATGGAGGGGCGGCCAGGAGGCAGGTCATCAGGACCCCAAGGGCCACGAAAAGATTTCGGACTTTGAGTACAAAGAGGTAGTGCTGAAAAGGTTTAAACAAGACCTTGAGGGGTGGGCAGGGAACACTTGTAAAATATATACTTTATGCAATTGAATGAAAAATAATTTCAGCTTTCTTGATTTTCCAAAATTGAACTCCACTTTCCTTTGGAGCCCCAGACACCTGCCCCGGGCAGACCTGTGTCCTGTCCCATCACTGAGTGTCCGGTCTGTTCAGATCCAGTTCCTCTCGTGACCTCAGTCATTTCAAGGCTTCTTCCTGTAACCCCTTGTTCTCATCTCCTTCAGTGGCACCAGGGTTCGGGGAAGCGTGGATGACCCCATGGCAGTGCAGGGCGGGAAAACCTGGCCACAGACTTTTGTCACGTGGGAGCACCTGCTGCTGGTATCAGGACTTCCGTCGTGACCTCAGATCAGGAGTTCAGTCCTGACTCCTGTTTTAGGTTCAGTGACCCTCTCTGCCCTCCACACTGGGCTTTGCAGGGCTGGGGAGAACCTGTAGCATGTGAGCGGGGGGAGGGGGGGGGCGTAGCTCTAGGGCCGCAGTGGAGGCCCTGTCCCTGCCCGGCCACGCCCCAGGAGTCCTGCGCCAGTGCAGAGGTGCGGGCCACTCCCCGAGGGTCAGGTGGGAGGGCAGGCGTGGACCCCACTTGCCTTCAGGTTATCCCCCCCTCGCCGAGCCATGTACCATCTGAGGGCTGCAGGATGTGTGGGGGCGGGGTGGTTCTCAGGGGTCCAGGCAGCATCCCAAGCTCCGTGTCCTGCCTGTTGAAGCTTCGAGGGACTTGTCAGGTGCTCCAGTGGTTGGGGATCCACCTGTCAACGCAGGGACGTGAGGTTCGATCCCTGGTCTGGGAGGATCCTGCTTGCCGCAGGGCAACCAAGTCTGCACTGCAGCTGCTGAGCCCACAGTCCAGAACCCGAGCTCTGCCACGAGAGAAGCTGCCACGAGAGGTACCCCGTGCGCTGCAAATGCTGAGCCCGCGGGCAGGAGCCTGTGCCCCACAGCGAGAAGCCTGCGCGGCAACAAAGACCCAGTGCAGCCAAGATAGACTGGAAAGAAGAAGAAAAGTGCATGACGCTCCCCCAGCCCTGGCAGCAACATCCTTACACCGAGGGTGTGTCTCTCACGCCTTTGCTTTTGGTTTCTTTTTTTTTTTTTAATTGAACTTGAAGATGTTTATTGCGTTCTATTTTTGGTGGAAAAAAAGGTCACATACGTTATTTAGCACAGCCTTGTGAAATACACAAAGTATAACTGGGGATGAGCATTTTCTCCTTCTAGTCTGTTTCTGAGGACTAAATCCTGAACTGCTCCGCTGGAGGAAGCCTTCCTGCAGTGGGTGGGCACCAAGTCTAACGTTCATTAATTTTCTCCTTTCAGTATAGGCAGCAACTCCCCATTTTCTTTCAGTTCCTTAACAATGTCCAGTCCTCCGACAAGCTCCCCCTTCACATACAGCTGAGGGTACGTCGGCCAATTGGAGTAAGCTTTTAATCCTTGCCGAACTTCTTCATCCTCCAATATATCAAATGTCTCATATTCAATCCCAGTGCTATTTAGTATTTCCAAAATCTGTCTGCTGAAGCCACACTTAGCTTCCTGTTTGTTTCCTTTCATAAAAAGCATCACAGAAGCTTTATTTGTCAGTACTTTGAGCCTTTCCTCTAACTTGGGGGCTTTGGGGCAAATCGTATCTAGTTCTTTAGATGCTTCTAGGTCCTTAATTATATCAAGTCCTCCTATGAGCTCTCCAGAAACATAGAGCTGGGGATAGGTGGGCCAATTGGAATAGGTTTTGAGGCCCTGACGAACTTCTTCATCTGAGAAGATGTCAAAACTGCCAAACTGAATATTATGTTTGTTAAGAATTTCCACCATCTGCTTGCTGAAACTGCAGCGCGGCTCCTGAGGAGTTCCCTTCATGAACAGCATGCAGGGGGCAGCGTGAGTTAACTTCTTCAGGCGCAGGCTGAGGTCTTCCTTCGGGTGCTCACCACTACGTGGTGAGAAGGAGCCGCTAGACGCATGTCGCTGAACTTTTTTGGTCAACTCTGGGGCATGGGCACCATCTAATCGGTCGATTTTCTGAGAATTCTTGAGAAACAGAAAGGTGGGAGCAGAACTAATTTCATATTTTTCAGATACTTCAGGAACAGCTTCTGCTTCCAACTTCACAAACGAGACTTGTGGGTGCTCTCCGGCGAGCTCTGCCATCACGTCGTTCATCTGAGCGCACTGCGCAGCCCGTGGTGCCCAGAAATGGACCACAAGAAGGGACTTGGCTCTGAGGCGCAGCAGCTCCTCAAACTGCCCGCCCGAGCCGACCTCCACCTCGGCCTCAGCCGCCCCGCCGCCATGCTGCCGCCGCCAGACGAGAGCAGTCGAGCGCGGGCGGCCGATGGGGGCGGGGCGCGGGCGGCCGATGGGGGCGGGGCGCGGGCGGCCGATGGGGGCGGGGCGCGGGCGGCGGCGCGGGAAGCCCCGCCCCCGGCCGTCCCGGAGGCCCCTGCCCTTGGTTTCTTGCCCTCCAGGGGAATCTCGCAAGCTTCGGCTCGCCATTCCCTGTCCTCTGTCTTGAAAGCCTCTCTTTTAAGGCTGTGGCTTGCCACAAGCTCTTAAAGGACTAGGTTAAAACTTAAATCTGAACAACTTTTAAAAATATTTTGTACTTTTATTTTTGGCTGTGTTGGGTCTTCATTTGAGTAGCAGCTTCTTATGACTAGACAGGGGCTTTCATGGAGCGTGACTGTCTCCACAAATGATGGCGGAAAACTTCTCAGTGATGGAGGAGAGAAAAGACACAAGGTGCGTGCCATGCACCTTGTACCTGGAAACGTGTGTTCAGTCGCAGTTTGTGGAAGACGGATGGAGGAGAGGCTAGAGCAGAAGCCGGGAGGGCAGCTATGAGGCTGTGGCTGCGGCCCAGGCGACAGAGATGACGGTGACCATGGACACCTTGGAAACATGGTGCTTCACCCTCCACCACTCCCCTCGTCAGCAGGCCGTGAGCATGTGGTCCAGGGGCGCGACCTCTGGGGAAAGGTTTCTCCCTATTAAAAGAGAGACACTCATCAGGACATAGCCCACTTCTAGAAGATGTTTTTGTGATGCTTGAAAGTAGTCTTCTCACGAACACATAGGGCAAAGCTTAAGGACCAAGCCAAGCGCTGGGGGTGGCCTCCAGCTGGAGAGACCCGGGTCAGTGGTTACATTGTTGAGCTGACCATCAGTTTCCTTGCCTCTGGAAGAGACAGTGTGCATCCTTATTGTGCAAGGTGTCGCTCACATTGTTTCGTTTTTGTAGCCAAAGCATTCTCACTGACATGGAAAAAATGCTTCAATCTAGGATGTATCCGCTATGCTGTGGGACCAGAGAGAAAAGTTGGCAAATAAGCACATGGATATGTGAGTCTGGAACTCCAAGAAGAGGTTTGCCCTGGAAAAAGAAGGTTGGAAACCATCAGCATAAAGATGGCCGTTAAACCCACAAGTGCGAGTTGCCTCAGGAAAGGACACGCGTGGAGGAGAGCGCCAGGCGCCCAGTGTTTAAACAGTGGCGAGAGACACGCAGGCGGGGCGAGAGGGAGTGAGAGGGAGGAGCCGGGGAGGAGGAGGGTCTGTCCGGGAGGGCCCGTGGGTCGCCTGCCTCCCGCTCCCGCGCTGTGACACCCCGTCCCTGCTGCCTTCAGAGGATGGGGCGGGAGGTGGGG